ACGAGAATATATGTTTTAACTGCACTAATATATGTGTAGTACAAACCATAGGAAAAATAATGTTTTTCAAAATATATTTCTTATTCAAGTAAAGTCTCATGATTTCTAGATACTTTACATTTCTTTCGTTGTTTATTTTTAATAACTGTCTAAGGAAATTTCCAATTACTTTTCACATCATAACAGACTCTGGATGACCAAACCGGTCATGCCAAATAATATTTTTTTATTTATAATTTTTAGTTTATGAGAATATGTGTTTTAACTGCATTAATATATGTGTAGTACAAATCATAGAAAAAATAATGTTTTTTCAAAATATATTTCTTATTAAAGTAAAGTGTCATGATTTCAAGATACTTTACATTTCATTTGTTTTTTATTTTAATATGATACAATTTAGACGATTTTTCATGGAATTTAATAAATTTCTATGAGATTTATAAGAATATACAATATGTGACACCCATCTACCCCTAAGTATGATATCAATTTAAAACTCGTAAAATCCAAATACGTCCTCATAGAAATCATAAATATAATATATTAGTTCATTAGAAAAATAAATGAGAAGATAAGTGATAAACAAATTGTATTTCAAAAATAAGAAAATAACCAAGAAGTAATAAAAATCCTAAACTACTCCAAATCCCCGATATCACATTGGCATCAGAGTTTCACACACACCTAGACCTTTCCTTGCTCATCCCAAGGCTGGGGATCCTCGTCTACAAAACATACAAAACAGAACACATCAACAAGAAATTGAGAGTGAGAACAATCTCACTTTATAGGGAATAGGCCACAACCCTCAGCATCCATCCCTTCACAATAAACAAATACAATAACATTAATTAATAATTCAAATATAATAACCACAATTCATACATCAACTTCACTTATAAACGTCATCCATTCCATTTACAAACACATACACAAAAATGTAATGTGATGTGCACCTACATCTAAATGCATGGGGTACCTGGCCACCACCATCATCAAGAATATACAGTTGGTACTTAAGTCCCGAGTTATAACCTTAGGCTACTAAAACATAAGTGTTCCTATCAGAACACCAATAGGTTCCCACTAGAACCACAAAATCATGCAAGTATGATGCATATCACAACCATGCTAATGCTTATATATTAATACATCATGATCATCGTCTAATTCATTATTCACCGACATCAAGGTCATCCATCATGATCGTAATCATCATTCTTTAAGTATACATATACATTCTTCATCATACAAATAATCAAAAACATCATTTAAAACATCATAGTAAGCCTTCTGACCATCCTCGTCGGGCTTGGAAACTCACGTTTGGCTTTAAGTTACTATAAAGAGCACCTGCTCTCTCTTTCGTGTCTGGCGTGAACATCTTCAAGCTCAACGCTAAGCCACAACAAAGAGCGTCATAGTCTTTTTGCACCCGACGTGGAGGCGCTAAGCCACAATAGAGAGCTTCACCCTTTCCTTGCACCTAGTGTGGACATTTTCACGCCTAGCGCCTTCATGCATATGAAGGCATGCTCGATGTCAAGCATTTAAGCCCGACGCCACGTGTGTTCCAGCACCCAAACACATTAATACAAAATAGGATCTTGAAACAAAACATCACCCAAATCATCCATCCAATTTATATAAACCAAAAATTCATTTTTCATCCAGGAAATTTACCAATTTAGCATTTATAACTTTTATTCCTTAATTTCATCAAATTTCTCTTCTTAGGGTTCTAATCCATTTATACAAAACACTCAAATAATTACTATAAAACATCTAATATCCAATCAATCACGTATTTGGAATCTACTTGACCAATCGCATCACACACACACATCATTTCTTCAAACAAAAAACTTATGGGATTGGGGGTCAATCCCTCTATCCTTCATTATTTTGTTTAGTCTTTAAGAGACAACAAACCAACTTAAGATATCTCTTAATCTTATTTTTTTCTTCTTTTGATACTACTACTTAAGGAGCATGATAGATATATGAAAAACGTAACATATTTTTTAAATTGAGAATTCATTGTAAAATTGACATTTTCTTTGATGTATTTTTAGATATCAATTTAATCTCAAAATTTGCAATAATGTTTTACCATAATGATGCATATAATTTAAAAATAAATATTTTGTTCAAAAAAATATTTACGATACATTTCTCAACAACACTTTATTTTATCATTTAAGGAAATGAATGACACAAAAATAAAAAAATGTTAAAATTACCTACTAGTAATCATGCAACACAATAATATATTCTTTTGAAAAAATCATAGCTTTTTTTTTAATTGTTTATGTCTTTCTTTTATTTATTTATTTTTAAACAAGTGAATCTTTCTTGTTATAATGATTAACAAAATTTCTTTTAAAAATAATTAAAAATAATTTAAGAAAAATATATTTATGTCATTACTAGGTTGACTTTAAAGAGAAAAAAATAATGCTAAAAATTAGAGAAATTATTCTCTCTATAAATGTTGTATCGAAAAAATAAAGGAAATAAAAATTTATCATATTTTCATTTAATTCTATTATTCCTATATAAATCATAATTAAATTATAATTAGATGATTTTAAGTGATATGTGTTGATCCCATCAATTTAAATAATAGACATATAATAATATGAAAACAAATAACAATATTATCAATAGGATTTGAAACCAAATCCTTTATAGTGTGTTTGGATGGAGAATTTAAATGGAGTAATTCATTTATTTGAAGAATTTCAAATTCTTTGAAATTAAATGCCTTGTTTGAATAGAGAATTTATAAATAATTTAAAATTCAGGCATTTGTGAAATTCCTTGAAATAGTAGAATTTCAAATTCTTCCAAAAAAAGTAAGAATTTGAAATTCCTCATATTTTTTTTCTTATTATTTCACTTATATATTTTATCTTATCTCTTATCTTTTCATGTGTTTTAATTATTGAATATTCAAAAATATTTTTAAAATTATTAAATATTATCCAATATTAATTTTTAAAATGATTAAATATTTAAAAATTAGCTAATATTTATTTTTATAAAATTTAATTTAAAAATCTCAACATATAAATATATTTTTAAAATCAATTTTACCATGGTAGAATCAAATTATCATATCCAACCTAATAATTTAAAATTTAAGAAATTTGAATTGACTTATCCAAACAAAATATTTTAAGAATGATAGAAACTGAAATCAGAGTAATTCAAATACCAATAATTTAAATTTCTTTAAATTTGTAAAATTCTCCATCCAAACACACTATTAGGATTTAATAGCATAACACATGAGTTCAATCATATGACAAATTGATTATTTCAATCAATTCAATCATGAACAATATCAAATTACAAATGTAAGGATTTTCATAACCTTTTCAGAAAAATTACAAAAAAACCTAAATAAGCTTAGGGATGGGCTTCACTGCTCACAATTTTTTTAAGTGTCCCAAATAATTCAACATTATAATTATGACATTGACATAATTATTCTACTTTCGGTAGTGCCCTTATTTATATCAAATAATCAAACATAATATAGTATATTTATATCATATTTGTTACTTTATTTATTTTTTTCACTCCTGGTGAAACATATTTTTTTTTGTATTATTTTCTTACTTATAGGGAGAAAAATCATTCCTTCATTTTCATTTTTGCACCATGTTCTCACTTTTGGTGAAGAAAAACATTCTTAAAATTTATTTTTTTGACAATATTTTTAGATCATTGCAAAAATATTTTTATAATTTACTTTATTAATTTTGTCTTTAAGACTAATTGTATTTAAATAAATTTCATAATCATGTAAATAATACAAATATTCTACCAAATACATAATATAAAGAATATCATTAAAGATTAATGATAGTATGTATTTTTGTATTATTTCCAACATTGAGATAATTTAGTAATAATATTAAGGTAAATATAAACATTAATAATGGATAACCACCATTAAATATTCATAAAAATTATGAAGCATGATTTGATAACTGACATTTACTTTAATATCGATAGACAATAAAAAGTAAAAAGAAATAAAAAAATATAATTATTATAAGTAATATTTAAATAATTTATGTGATATTATAAGTCACTAAATCGTAAGATATGAGAGATATAAGTAAATTATTTTGATTTAATTTAATTTTATTATTTAAAATTAGTACATCAAACCTAATTATTAATGCAATTTGATTTTTTAAATAATGCGGTTTAATTTTTTCCAAATTATTATTTTTAAAATAGTACAATTCAATTTCAAATTTAAATTGGTTTGTTTGATTTTTTTTTCACATCCTACTAGTTTGATATGTGCCTAACAAAGATAAATATATAATCTATGATCTATAAAGAAAATTATCATACATATTTATATATATATATATATATATATATATTGATAATTTTACCTCTAAATTTACTTTTCAATCCCCCCCATTATTTTTTTTTATAAAAAAAGTTATACTTATAACTATAATTATCCTAAAATTATTCACATAGCCTACTTTTATTTTATTTAAAAAAATATAAAAATATAAAACGACTTTGGTAATCTATAGTTTTAATAACTAACTTGATTTTCATATTTTATTGATAATTATACTCTTTTATTTTTAAAATTAAATATTTTTTTATCAAATTTAAAACCTTGAAATTAATGAATTAATTATAATACAAGTTAAATTATTATATTTTTATTATTTTATTTTATTTTAATTGAAGTGCCTCGACGGCATAAGTTTTTGATATTATTTTTAATTGAGTCATTATATTCTTCAAACAAAAACTTTTATTAAGTCACTGTACATTATATTTCTATTGTAGATGATTTATCTTTTTCCTGATTCTTTATGTATTTCTTATTTTCCATATGAGGACCTTCTTCTTGTCGGAAAATAAATAGTCCCACTCCCACTAGTATAAAATAAAATAAAAATATACAATATCCTCATAAGTTATTTATATATATAAAAAATTGTTACTCGGGAAGTAAGGATCGTGTGGTGCGGTGCACAGAATTAGAAAGAGAGGGGTGGTGTCGGCTTGAACCAAACACGACCTTATCGGCGATCCAATTCCTAAACCCTACCCGCAATTCTGCTGCTCGCTGGAGTGGATCCATCCCAGTTAGGGCAAATTCCTCTCTTCGACATGGCTTCCGCTGCGCCAGGTTTACCATGCCCTAATTCTCTTGTAACAATTCACATTTACATTCAGATTCAATACTAATAGTCATGTATAGGTGCAACCAATGATGCACTGTACAAGGAATTGTGGCATGCCTGTGCTGGTCCTCTTGTCACTCTTCCGTGTGAAGGGGAGAGAGTTTATTACTTCCCGCAAGGTCATATGGAACAGGTACAGTACAACTTTCATGCCCGTGTGCTCTTAATTCATGCTTATTCCTGTTGCCTTGCAAACAATTTTATCTTGCAATCTGCCGGGAGATGTCCTTCATGCTGTGTTGCTTTTTCTTTTATCTTAGCTCGAGGCATCTATGAATCAGGGATTGGAGCAGCAAATGCCTTCCTTTAATCTGCCTTCTAAAATATTATGTAAAGTCGTCAATGTTCATCTTCGAGTGAGTCATCATTTTCTTCTGGATACTTTTGTTTTGAATTGGTAATGTGCTTGTGCTTTACTATGATCATTATTTTATGGTTAAATTCATCTCGGTCATGTAGGCTGAACCTGAAACAGATGAAGTATATGCTCAAATAACTTTGCTTCCTGAAGCAGATGTGAGTATTCTTTGTCCAACATGTTGTTATATTTCTACATTTTCTGTTCTTTTAAGTTATGTCTCAACTTATTTTCCAGTCATATTGTTTCATGCCCATTTAGTTTCTCTCTGTGTGTTTTTTTTTAAATCTTATTTTATTCTTATTTTTATGTCTTGTTGGTATAGCAAAATGAGGTGATGAGTCCTGACGATCCTCTGCCCGAACCTGCAAGATGTACAGTCCATTCATTTTGCAAGACACTCACTGCTTCTGACACTAGCACTCATGGAGGTTTCTCCGTTCTTCGGAGACATGCAGATGATTGTCTGCCACCACTGGTTAGCAATTTTATCTTTCTGAAAGTTATTAAACACACTTGATCATATTTAGTTGTCCTTTACTCTATAATTTCCATGTTTGTTCAGGATATGACTCAGCAGCCACCCTGGCAAGAATTGGTTGCAACTGATCTGCATGGGAATGAATGGCATTTTAGGCATATCTTTCGAGGTAAGTAGCTTGCCAGCCCCGTTCCCCTAAATGTTTGGACTGTTTTATCATGTGAACCTATTAAAGTGATAATTTTGTATTTTTGCGGATTGAATATGCTGAGTAAGCATAATTCATACTGCTTTTGGAACACAACAAAATTTTCAAAGTAAAACAATTTTTGGGACTTAAATGTGTAATGCCAAGCATGCTCCTTAGAAAAAGTTTATAGAGAGTTGTACTTGGATAGGGATTAGTTTCCTTTTATGATATTAATCTTTTATGCAATGTATAGATATGTATCTCTTTTCATATTGCTAGTTGACTTATATGTATCTCCTTTTTATATTGCTTGTTGACTTATATGTATCTCCTTTTTATATTGCTTGTTGACCTATATGTATCTCGTACTTCACTAAGGTTTTAATTTTTTGTGTGTAGTTTACTATACTGTTAAACTTTTCAGCACATGGCCTGTTGATTTTTTTATGAGTTGAATGAATTTTACTCTTCAGTTGCTTTTTCAGGAAATGTTCTGTTAAGTAAATCCTTATAGCACTCATAACTTTGTGGGTTCCCACACAAACACCCTGCTATTATGTTTTTGACTTGTATAATATGAGACAAGATTAGATTTGATATTCATAATGTCAGTAAGTTCCTGACTGTGCAGGGCAACCCAGACGCCACTTACTGACCACTGGGTGGAGTGTCTTTGTCAGTTCCAAAAAATTAGTGGCTGGTGATGCATTTATATTCTTAAGGCAAGTTGTCTAGTTGAAGTATTGTACCTTCCTCTCAGGGAAAGACAAAGTACTTTTCATTTTTTCATTGCTTTTCTTCCTTGTTGTGAGTGATTGTGGTTGGTTTTTCTTGTATGCAATTCTAGAGGTGAAAATGGAGAATTGCGAGTTGGAGTTAGGAGGCTCATGAGACAGCAAAACAACATGCCATCTTCTGTTATATCCAGCCACAGTATGCATCTGGGTGTTCTGGCCACTGCTTCTCATGCCATTGCCACTGGAACATTGTTTTCTGTATTTTATAAGCCCAGGTCTTGTATTTAATGCTATAAAGTTATTAGTTATCTCAGATTAATGTTATCAGTTCACGATGTTTTGCCCAACTAATGTTTTGCTAGCATTAATGATACCTTGAACTAACATTAACATAGGATTCTGTTTTGTTTCTATTTGTACATTTGCATGCTTGCTTTCGTGCAATTAATGAACTATATTCTTTATGGGTGAAATAATTTGGCCAGGATGATATTTAAATTTGCTTTTGTTGCTTTACTTAGTTAGATTTTCTGCTGACTTATCAATATTTATATTAGAACAAGCCGGTCTGAGTTTATTGTGAGTGTCAACAAGTATCTTGAAGCTCAAAGTCATAAACTTTCTGTTGGGATGAGATTCAAAATGAGATTCGAGGGCGATGAAGTTCCTGAAAGAAGGTGCACGGTCTGGTCGCTTGGAAATTTATATTTTGATTTTAGTGTATTTTGCAATCTGATAAACTGATCCTCCCCTTGGATACAGGTTCAGTGGTACAATTGTGGGTGTTGGAGATAATAAATCGTCAGTCTGGGCTGATTCTGAGTGGCGATCATTAAAGGTTAGTATGGCTTTAGTTACATTTCCCATGCTTTTTTCTTTTTGTAGTTTGCAATTGCATTCAGTTGAATTCAATATTTTTAAAAACTTTCCATGCATGGCCGTTTAGTTTTGGGAAAACTACCAAAAAGCAGACATTATTCTTCATTCTCTTTAAATTGGTAAAAAAAAAGGTCAATAATGATGATACTTTGTTTGTGGAACAATCTAGTAATGATATTTCCTTGATGGTTGGATAAATTAACTGCGAGAAATTCGCCAAGATTTTGTGTGCTTGATGCTGACACCTCAATAAATTACTAGGATTTGAAATATTCATAGCAGCTCTTGGTTCATTAGTCTTATGATCTATAATGTATTTCAGGTTCAATGGGATGAACCATCATCTATTTTGCGTCCTGATAGAGTTTCTTCATGGGAATTGGAGCCACTTGTGTCTACCCCTCCTACAAACTCCCAGCCATCCCAAAGAAACAAGAGGTCACGACCTCCCATTCTATCTTCAACAATGCCTGATTCTTCTCTGCAAGGTGGCTCAATAATGCAGAATTTCTCCATAAAATTCTGTTATCCGTGCTGCTTTTACTCAAAATTTATTTTCCTCTGCATTTGATTAGGCGTATGGAAATCACCAGTTGAATCTGCACCTTTCTCTTATCGTGACCATCAACATGGCCGAGATGTCTATTCATCACCCAAATTCAATTCGACTGCAACTGGATTTCTTGGTTTTGGTGGGAATTGCTCTGCTTCCAACAAGTCAATATATTGGTCTAGTAGGATGGAAAATTCTACAGAATCTTTTTCACCTGTAGCACTTCAAGAATCTGGAGAGAAGAGACAAGGAACTGGAAATGGCTGTAGGCTCTTTGGGATTCAGTTACTCGAGAATTCTAATGAAGAAAGTCTACCAATGGTTACCTTATCAGGAAGGGTGGGTGATGATGGCCCCCTCCCATCTTTGGATGCTGAGTCTGACCAGCATTCTGAACCATCAAATGTTAATCGATCTGATATCCCTTCAGTAAGCTGTGATGCTGAAAAGTCATGCCTGCGGTCTCCTCAGGAGTCACAGAGCAGGCAAATAAGAAGCTGCACAAAGGTAGTATAATTGTTTTTATGTTGGTGTAATACACCCTGCACCCCCTTCCCATTTTAATTTACAACCCGGCAACATTATTGGCAGTTGGCATAATTTTCTTTTGTTGTAATTTAGTTGACTTTATGACAGTTATCTGTATTGCATATTTGCAACATCACCATACAGAATTGTATGATGATTTTTAGCTATTGATAATGATTTTAGAATCTATCTGCATTTTTTATATCATCTAATACAGCTGGTAAATATAACTCAGATAATGGATATGAAGATCTTATATATTTTATTCTCACACTGATACACAATACAATATATTTGGAAAAATCTTTCAAAATTTTCATTGAAACAGAATCCATAAATCATCATTAGCTACAATGTTCACCTAGCAGCTTAGTCATAAAAGTTATAGTTAGTAGCGAGGGTTAAAAGGCTTTTTTCTTTTGATGATTCTATTTAAATTTTCTTCATCTTGTTTTTCTTGGACTGGAAAGTGATTTAGCATTCTCTGTTTTACTAGAGGGCAAGTCCTTGCGTAGTATAATAAAATTATTTATGATTCAAGTTTAACCCTATTCCAGGTTCATATGCAAGGTATGGCTGTTGGAAGGGCTGTGGATTTAACACGGTTTGATGGATATGAGGATCTGCTGAGAAAATTGGAAGAGATGTTTGACATCAAGGGTGAGCTATGTGGATCCACAAAAAAATGGCAGGTCGTGTACACTGATAATGAAGATGATATGATGATGGTTGGGGATGATCCATGGCTGTAAGATCATTTGATACTAGCATAAATTTACTTGGGACACTTTAATTTGTGGCATAATATTTTTGCAATTTTAATGTGTATATTAAATTCTGTCTTGCTATTTTACTGCAGTGAATTTTGTAGCATAGTGAGGAAAATTTTTATCTACACTGCAGAGGAGGTGAAGAAGCTTTCACCCAAAATAGGAATTCCAATCAATGAAGAAGTTAAACCTAGCAAAATGGATTCTGAAGCAGTTGTCAATCCTGAGGATCAGTCATCTATTGTGGGGCCTGATTGCTGATGTTCTTGGTCTTCCAATATTTTAGCTTTTATATACAAGATATTGGCATGAAAGTAGGATGTAGAACGTGAGAGAAACGAGAATCAACCTGACAAGCATTTCATCATGGCCTGTAGGAGCATATAGTTGGTGTGTTATGCATCAATACAGGAGCAACATGATAGCACCAAAGCGGATGGCTGGTGTCATATAATGCTGTTTGATCCACCTTGAAAGATAGGCTTGGGGGTATTGTGGCTTTTCTATTTCTCTCGTAGCTCCGTTTTCACCTAGTCTCAAGGCCCTTGCTTGTTCAGTTTTATATGGGCTTGGAGCATGAAGAAACGTCTTTCGGTTAAGTATCTTACTGTGCATTTTTTTTTGGCTATATTGTAATTCACTTGATGTGATCATCTTATTTCTGTATATATAACTTTTATTATATACATACTATTTAATGTATGTATACCGAGCCATTTTTTTCTTTCTAGCAGAGGTGTACACAATCTGATTTGAATTGTTTTAATACATAAATATTTGGTGCATGTTTGGAATAGATTTTTAATGCTGTGACCCACGTCCAGTTGAAGCTGCTTCTCAGTTTTGAAGATCTCGACATGAAAAAGGTTTAGAAACGAGCGCAACAAACTGCAATCAAACATCCGCTGGGCAGTTTCGCTTGTGCTTATAAAAACGTTGGGTTAAATGACGTTTGGAGCACTGAATCGTGTGTGCGGCCGTTTTTTTGACTTGGCAATTCTAATATGCACTTCATTTTGTTTGGTTGAAAAGGCAGTTTCTTCTGAATTATTGTAATATCACAAAATGCTCGACCGTCTATCAGATTCTGTGACCAATATTAACCCATGGTGGTCCTTGTTAGACGTATAGTCACTTGGTGTCTGTTATTTTTGCGTTTATCAGTTTGTTAGTGAAGTCCTATTCTTTAGGGATTTTCAAATAAATTAGGATATTTTCTTATCAGTTAGGTCCACGTTGTAGGTCATGTAAAACGTGGTTCTGTTAGTACTCTTGTATTCTCTCGTGTAAGGCCACAAAGTCACAATTAGCTTTTGAATTCAATAAGACATTCTCTCAGAATATTTGCATGTAGTGTTTTGTTTCTATCAATTGGTATCAAAGATCCATCATAAGGGTCTAATCCAAGTGTCTGTGAGTGAAACAGAGAGTGCGAGAGACAATTGGTGTGGTTTCTGGAAAGAATTTGCAACTTGCTTTCTATTAGCAGCAGTTCAGAAGAATGGTGGAAGGTGGTAGTAGCAGTTTTGTGCAGCCTACTATTCCCAAGTTTGATGGTCACTATGACCGTTGGGAAATGTTAATGGAGAATTTTCTCCACTCCAAAGAATATTGGGGTCTCATTGAGAATGTGATCTTTGTGGTGACAGATGGGGCAGAGTCGATTGAGGCACAACTCAAATTGATTGATGAGCAGAGGTTGAAGGATTTAAAGGTGAAGAATTACCTTTTCCAAGCAATAGACCGTGATGTCCTTGAAGCAATTCTGAAGAGAGACAACAAAAAATATTTGGGACTCAATGAAACAAAAATTTCAGGGTTTCACTTAAGGTCAAATGGGCATAGCTTCAAGCTTTATGCAAAGATTTTGAAATTCTCCACATGAAGGAAGAAGAGACGGTGAATGCCTATTTTCTCGTACTCTAACCATAGCCAATAAAATGAAGGCTCAAGGTGAAAGTATGAATGAAACAACCATTACTAAAAAGATTTTACGATCGATGGTCTCAAAATTTAATTACGCGATGTGTTCAATTGAGGAATCCAACAACTTGGACATGAAGACTATTGATGAGCTTCAGAGCAATCTCCTTGTTTATGAGCAAAGGATGAGAGGTCATGGAGAAGAGGGTAGGTTCCAAATATTTCCTATGATAACAGAGCAACAAGAGCAAGAGGTAGAAGTGCATTCAGAGGAGGACGAGGCAGAGGAAGGGGAAGACAACCCATTAACAAAGCTGCTATTGAGTGTTTCAAATGTCACAAGTTAGGACACTATAAATTTGAGTATTCAGATTGGGAGAAAAGTGCTAATTATGCTAAATTGGAAGGAGAAGAAGAAAAGTTACTGTTAATGTCCTATGTTGAACTCAAACAAGCCAAAAGCGAAGAAGTGTGGTTCCTTGATTATGGCTGCAACAATCACATGAGTGGAAACAAGGAGTGGTTTTCAAAGTTGGATGAAAGCTTCAGGCGAACCGTAAAACTTGACAATAACACCAGAATGGTCGTTGTGGGAAAAGGCAGCGTTCTTATGCAAGTTGATGGAATTACTCAGATAATTTCTGATGTTTACTATATTACTAAACTTAAGAACAATTTATTGAGCATAGGACAACTTCTAGAAAAGGGTTTAGCAATATTGATTCAAAATGGAAAGTGTAGAGTGTATCATCCTAGAAAAGGATTAGTTATGCAAACAAATGAGTCAAAATATAATGTTTTTCTTATTGGCTGTCATGATACCAAAAGACTTTACATGTTTCCAAATTGTGCTAGAAAATGAATCTTATCTTTGACATTGTCGGTTTGGTCACTTAAGCTATAAGGGATTGTGCACACTTTTTTATAACAAGATGGTAAATGGGCTACCTTCACTCAAGATTTCAAAGAAGCTTTGCATAGGATGTTTGGTAGGCAAGCAACATAGAGACTCTATGCCAAAGAAGAATTTGTGGAGAGCATCAAAGAAGTAACAACTTGTGCATGCTGACATATGTGGGCCTATTAAACCAGAGTCAAACAACAATAAGAGGTACATCTTAAGTTTTGATGATTTCACTTGTAAAACTTGGATATACTTCTTACATGAAAAATTAGAAGCGTTTGCCATGTTTAGAAATTATAAAGCTTGTGTTGAGAAAGAGACTGAAGCATATATCACTACTTTGAGGACGAACAGAGGTGGTGAGTTCATCTCAAAAGAGTTTGAAGAATTTAGCAAAGTTCAAGGCATAAGTAGACAATTGACTCCTGCCTATACTCCTGAGCAAAATAGAGTTGCTGAGAGAAAAAACAGTATGATACAATCTATGTTGGTGCAAAAACAAGTTCTTAAAATGTTTTGGCCTAAAGTTGTAAAATGGAGTGTGCATATTCTTAATAGATGTCCTACCTTGGCTATACAAAATAAAACTCCAGAGGAAGCATAAAGCGGTGTAAAACCAATAATGGATTACTTTAGAGTTTTTGGGTGTGTTGCTCATGTACACATTCCAGACCAAAAGAGATCCAAGCTAGATGATAATAGCAGAAAATGTGTTTTGTTGGGAGTAAGTGATGAATCAAGGGCCTATAGATTACATGATCCAATCTCAAAGAAAATCATCATTAGCAGGGTTGTGTTTTTTGAAGAAGATGAATGCTGGAATTGGGGCAGAAACAAAGAGGAATGCAGAACAGATTTTTTAAAATAGAAAAATGATGATGATGACGGTGACACAGAAGTGAGAGCGAAAAATAATAAAGAAGATGATGATGGTGCAGTACAGGAAATTCAAAAGAAGTTGGTTCACCTTATAATGAGTCAAATGAAGATAATCAGATTCACCTATTTAGAATGAAAGGAGGGTAAGAAGAGCACCCCTTTGGATAGCAGATTATGAAACAAGTGAAGGTTTGTTAGATGAAGATGGTTTGCATGCTATGATAATGCTCACTGAAGATGACCCACTTACATTGGAAGATGTTGTTAAGAGCAAGAAGTGGAGGGATGCAATGAAGGTAGAGATTGAGTCAATAGAAAAGAACAAGACCTGGGAGTTAACTGTTTTACCAGAAGGAGTGAACCCAATTGGAGTTAAGTGGGTTTTCAAGACTAAACTCAATGAGAATGGAGAGATAGACAAGTACAAAGCAAGGCTAGTGGCCAAGGGGTATGCACAACAATATGGAGTTGATTATACTGAAGTTTTTGCTCCAGTTGCTAGACTTGACACCATTCGATTAATACTTGCATTGGCAACTCAAAATAATTGGGATGTGTTTCAACTAGATGTAAAAAGTGCATTCCTTCATGGTGAACTCAATGAAGAAGTCTTTGTGCAACAACCGTTGGGATATGAGAAGAAAGGAAAAAAAGTCAGTTTACAAACTAAAAAAGGCTTTATATGGCTTGAAGAAAGCACCGAGGACATGGTATAGCAAGATAAAGGCTTATTTTGTTAAAGAATGCTTCAAAAGATGTTCTTATGAACCTACACAGTTCACAAAGTCAAAGGAAGGAGGTAAAATTTTAATAGTAAGCCTTTATATTGATGATTTAATTTACACCGGAAATGACATGTGTGATGAATTTAAGAATTCAATGATGTTGGAATTTGACATGTCTGATTTGGGGAAGATAAGGTGCTTTCTTGGGGTTGAAGGTATACAAAGATCAGATGGGATTTTTGTTTGCCAAAGAAAACATGCTTGTGAGGTTATAGCAAGATTTGGAATGGATAAAAGCAACTTTGTGAAAAATCCTATAGTCCCAGGCACACAATTGTATAAGAATGCAGCAGGAGTCAAAGTGGATGAAAAAATTTTCAAACAAGTAATTGGAAGTCTTATGTATTTGGCTGCAACTCACCCTGATCTGATGTATGTAGTAAGCCTTATAAGTAGATTCATGTCTTGTCCTACTAAACAGCATTGGCTTGCTGCAAAAAGAATACTAAGGTATTTTGAGGGTTCAACTGAACTTGGAATTTTCTACAAAAACGGAGGCTGCACAGATTTGGTAGCATACACTGGTAGTGATTTTGCTGGTGACTTAAATGATCGGAGGAGTACTTCTAGGTTTATTTTTTTGCTTGGTCCTAGAGCAGTTTCATGGTCTTCTAAGAAACAACCTGTAGTGACGTTGTCTACTACTGAGGTTGAGTACATAGCTGCTGCATTTTGTGCTTGCTGGCGTATTTGGTTGACAAGGGTGTTAGAGAAGCTTGGTCATAAAGAAGGGAAAAGCACCTTGATTAAGTGTGATAACATCTCTACTATCAAATTGTCAAAAAATCCAATTCTCCATGGAAGAAGCAAGCACATTGATATAAGGTTTTCTTAGAGATTTGACAAGAGACAAAGTTATGAAGTTGAGTTACTGCAGTTCATAAGAATAAATTGCAGATATAATGACAGAACCTCTTAAGTTGGTACAATTCTTGAAACTTCGAAAAATGCTGGGAATGGTTGAAGCCTCTATGATAAACTAAATGCTCTCTGCATATAGATTAAGTGAGGGAATGTTAGACATATAGTCACTTAGTGTGTTATTTTTGTGCTTGTCAGTTTGTTAGTGAAGTCCTATTCTTTAGGGATTTTCAAATAAATTAGGATATTTTTTTTTATCAGTTAGCTCCACGTTGTAGGTCATGTAAAACGTGGTTCTGTTAGTGCTCCTTTATTCTCTCATGTAAGGCTATAAAGCCACAATTAGCTTTTGAATTTAATAAGACATTCTCTCAGAAT